CCACAGTGAAGATTTCTCTGACTGAATTTTCATGACCAGATCTTTTTTCTAATTAGATGTGGAAGATAATTATCTTTTAGTTTATGGTACTCTCCTGCAAATACAGTTCTTGATGAAAAGCATGACTTAAATGTACATCTGATCATCAAATGTTCACCCCTAAGAGTGACTAGTATCTAATTTCTCCTTACAATATCACCCCTGAATCAAACATTTAAGGTAATGAGAATAGAGAAAATGATCACCAACTAAAGAAGCTCTTGACTGTTGAACAAATTCTCCATGTCAGCACCTTAGGATTCTCCGAACAGTATGGAGAAAATACATACTGATATTAAGGTGTAAAGGCTTAATTAAAAAAACTATCATTCCCAATCAAACTTGATGCACAAGGTCAATTTGAAATATTTACAGCCTTGACTAGCCCTGAATTGCATGACAAGCACTACAATCATGTATTGTAATTAGATCAGCAGGAAATTTAGAGTTCAGAAGGTCTTTTATATTTGATCTCCAGATGATAAACATGCACTGGGACAAATCCAGGATTCAGTGAAGAGGGAGTCTGATAAATGTCTGCTGAAGGGGGACCATCCTATTGGAGTTGATAATGTGATGTATAAGCTTAACGTCCAGAAAAAAGTGAAGAGAAGATCAAGATGGCCATTTAGTCTCATTCTGCAAACTTCAACCTTGTGCACAATCCAAGTATGAAAACTGGTCACATGACATTGGGTATAAGAAAATCCAAACAAAAAGATCTAACAGTTTACATACAGTATTTGTAAGTGATGTAAGGGTATCAACATTTAAGTTTTTTGTCAGAAATCACACATAACTGAACATTATTTATTTCAATTTAAAGGGTTTGACTCATCCGCTTGAACCACCCCTGGATTTGCCCTAAGTGTAATCAGACTCCACCTTCTGGAGATTAGAGCAAGACCATGATTAAATTGCTCACTCAACCAAAGAACCTATTTACCTTTGTCTTCATTGTCAAGTATATTAGACAGAAGAGCTGCACATCTGTTCAAGCCTCGGTCAACTGAAGAAACCTGTTAAATAAGAGTTTTAACTGTTAGCACAAGATCTCTTCTAAGACAACAACAAGACTAAGAGATTTTGACTAGAACCTAAATACAGAACTTCATTTACATGTTCTTGGAGAGAATCAATATAATTAAACACAAAAAGAGTCATCCAAACTATTATCAAAATTTTTTTTTTAAGATCACATACCTGGTCTTCTGAATCTGAGGTGTAGAGACTATAACCTGGTTTGGTCTCCTTAACAGCTTTATGTTGTCCTTTTGGGACTCTAGAAATGGTTGAGAAAATTCACTTTATTTGTATACTCTATTCTTGCAAATTCTTTAAACCTTAGGAGTAACAATATTGATAATGTAACTTTGAATTTAGGTCAGTGGATAAAGATCTGATTGTTCAACCCATTTTCCAAATCTTCATTTTGTCAAATTATTAACACTTACAGAGGCAATAAGAGCAATTGCAAATTACTTTTATGAGGAAACACTCTCACACTATAAGTGAAGGAAAGAAGAATGGTCTCCATTTTTTCCTTGTTTAAAAATTTTTACCTCACAATTTCCATGTGGGTTCAAAAACCCCTTAATTTCTGCACTTTTGCTTACAGCTGACGAGCAATGAGAATTAAGAACAAAAGAAAATTTTTTGTTATGAGACAGGAGAAGTAATTTTCGGATCTCAAGAGTGAAAGGGCTAACCACTTGTGAAAGAGGGTTGTTCAAAAACGCTTTGCTAATGAACTTTGCTAGTTACTTTCCAAGGTTTTCCCGACTACCTCAGTCATAAACTTCAAGAATGTACAGATTTACTGTTTAACATCATACCCTGCAACATCTGCTTTTCATTAACATCCACTGACTTAAATTCAAGGACTGCAGCAAACATTTGTATAACAAACTAATAACTACAACGTCCCTCACAATACAGCCGTACGTTATTTAGCGTGTTTAAACGTTGCCAATATGGATTAAATGTTGTCTGTCATTTTCAGTTTCGAACAACTTTGATATATTTTCATTTGTCTTAAATAATTATCACAATCTGAAACTATGGAAAATAAAGATCAAACTGGTCAAAGTAATTTTAAACTGTCTAACAAAATCATTAAACCACAACATTGCAATACATATACAGTCGCCTGGAATCATTTCTACCTTTTAAACGCAGGTGGCTTAGTTTTTGTGGGGAGACCTCGTGCCAACAAAGATGCCTTGGACGCCTGAGAGAACACATCGACAATAAGAACAAATCACCGAGGCAAATATGTAACATACACATAGAAACATTTACAAATAAGCCCTAAAAATTTCAAAATTAAGCACATAATTTGGTATTGCAAACACGCTCATTAGAAAAAATTCCCCTAACAAATTAATCATGTGAAAGAATTCTTATTACCTTTCCTCCCCCACTACTTTTCATTCCTAACTTTCCTTGAACAGTTTTGTTTTAACATGTTTGTCACAGCATGTTTATCTGTGAACACCTTTTCCCGCCGTTTACCGCCATTTTGAATTTTCTGATAGATACGTTATGTATAGAGTACCAGTCTATCCCTTGCTCTCAGGGGTGAAGTGGTTCCAACATGTGCTTCCCTTCCTCAAGCTCCTGGACATCATGTTTAGGCCGAATTTTGTAACGACAGGGTGGTTATATCTAGCGCTCTCAGCTCCTGAACACCATGTTTAAAGCGAATTTTTTAAAAAAGGCAGCGATATCCGGCGCTGTTCTTTCTATTGCAGGTGCAGCATTCTTCCATCACAAAATTCAAGGTGAGCACTACCATTATTCGACAGCATACTTACTTCGTTTCAGTTTATAAGTTTTTGGTCCCTGTGAGTTAGCTTAGGGTAAAAAATTTTATTATTTTTGTCTTTTTTTGTTCCACTCCGCTTCAACTGCGACATCGAACAGGGGTCCTGGGCTGTTGTGTATATGACTCAATATACACAACATTCCCTCTTGTTAGGGAGGGTGTTATTGTTATTGGAGTGAGTTTGAAAATAAGGAAAATTAAAACCTGAATTACAAAATTCCAACATCGAAGGTGGAAATCTCTTTAAGATCTAATTAAAATTCGTAATTGTTGAGGTTCTATTAAACCCTTTTACTTCTAAGATATGATTGTAATTCTCCCCTCTAACTGCTACATATTTCCTTTTAAATTATTTAAGAGAATTTAAGGTTAGATCAAGATTTTAACAATGTTGTGTAGTATTGCTGAGTACAAACTACAAATGTCCCTTAAATTATTTATTATCCCACTAATTTATATTATATGCCACCTAGGGGTGGATCCACAATTTTACGAGTGATTTGCACCAATTTGACTAGAGATAAAGCAAGAAGGATAATTGATTTCTTGAACTAATAAAGAACCAGAGAAATAATAAATGCAGGTTTGGTAACATTTGAGTGATTTCTGGAAATCACTTGAACTACTCTGGATCCAATTGTGCAACCTGTCCAGCAGGTTTTTTACAATAAAAAATGATCGACTGTGTACAAATAACTGTACAGCGTCCTTGATTTGCACATTACTTGTAGTTCAATTGGATAAAATTTAAACTTACTGAGACAATGTTGTTATCTTTCAGCAAATATAGCATCTCAACACTATTATAAAGCATCAGTTCAGTTACTAAGAGATCATCAACTTGCTTCAAATACTCTTGGAGAACCTCTAAGATTTACTTACATGAATCTCTCACGGAAAGATATCATGATTAATCGTGATATTGCTCAGGTGGGTAAAAGATTGTGGTCATTAGAAAGATAACAAATGCAAAAGGTTTGCATGCAATGATCTTTCTGGTGAACATAGGTCTGTTGAACATATGTTTTCAATTGATAAAACCCTTACCCTATCCTTTACTCAAATGAGAAAAAGAAAAGGAACTTTTCTACAAGGGTACTCTACAACTTTCCAGATATACACAGTATATCAGAGTTCTTTGTTACAAAGAAAAATCTATCAGTGCAAAGGATAGAGAAGTGTTCTGAAATTGACATTTATCTTATAAACTTGTAATTTATAATCACTTGTTTTGGAGAAATGGCCTCGTTGCAACAGACACAGCCCTACAATAAAAACTTCCTCTAAATTTGTTCATCATGAGGTCAAATGAGCTAAGTATGAATATGATTTTTCAACCATCAAAGATCTGATTTAAAAATGTTTTCTTTATTCAAGGTGGTCATACCAGTCAGAGGGAGTAAAGCTAAAGGAAATCTTTACTCCTTTGCTACTAGAACAGAAGACAATCAGTGAGTGGCTCTTTCCAAATGTCAGTTATTTGCATGCCCTTGACCAAAGGTTCTTTGTTGTAACTAATCTTGATCATTAACCAAAGCTCAACTTACACAATATATCCATAGCTTGAGTGAATAGAGTTCTTCTTGATTTTCAGATGGTTACTTGAAAGAGTGGAACTTGACGTAAATCAAGGACAACAGAGGATTAAAATTTGGCCAGAAAATTAATTGGAGAGCAAGCAATATCTTATGCTGTGGTTTAAATTATTCCCACAGGCATTCTCCTGAGAGGAGGTGTACAAATCACCTGCCAAGAAAATTGGTGTAAACATTTGTTCCTTCTGTTGGAAAATAAATGGAATCTGACACAGACTGCAACATTGGTGACCAGAAGTGAAAAGAAAATGACATAAATGTTTAAGTCCTGCCAAGTTTATTAAATTATGGAATGTTAAAATGCTGGCATAGTAACAGGAATGACTTCTAACTAACAACACAAAATTCCTGTTGTTTTCATTATAAGCTACATTTTAAGTATGTGTAAAAAAAAGTTTGAGGGAGCTTCATTATATGGGTTGTGCATGCTTTGCTTGGTAAGAAAGCAATGTTTTGCTTTTCAGGAGGACCAAATTATGCTGAGGACTAATGTTCACAAGTTTTTGTCAAAGGAACAGAGCAATAAACACAAGCTTTGATTCATAGATTGAGATTTTGTCTGAGTTGTAATATCAGAGACACATCATGAGGTGTGTAAGTTACATTTATAAAGCAATGTCTTGTACATTGTACCTTTCCACACAGTATGTGGTTCATTCAATATTCCTTTACTCTTACATTCTTACACCATATCTGGTAATACTTGTAGCTCAGCATTTAGGTCACCCTAAGTGCTTTAAAATACCTACTGACAATGAAGTGTTTACTGCTTAGCTACCAATTTTACAAATGAATTGGAAAATCCCCTAATGGCTGGCAAACTAATTCAGATCTTTAACTTTACCAGAATTACAAAGTAAATTAGAGCAAGAATACATACTTTAGTGAAATAGTGAAATTGATTCCTGTAAACATCATTTTACAATGATACATTTTAACTCTCTCCTTGCATCTTACCAGACCTCAGACCCACCCCCTTCAAATTTGCCTTTTTTAATACCAATACCCCTATTGTGCTGGGCCCATTCGTTCAAAGGCTGGTTAATGCTAACCCAGGGTTAAATTTTTATGTGGGTTTCTTTAATCCTTTGTTCAAAAGCCTTTTTGGGATAATTTTCTCTATTCTTTGTAGAGCATCCAATAATCACATTCTTTTTTTTTTTTAATTTTCTATTAAAGCTTTGAGATCTGAAACCAAATTTTGCACTTAACCGGGGGTATACCAGCCCAGCTTTGAAAAACCTGGTCCTGTCTATTAACCACAAACAGTACTATTGACAGCATCTTATCTTACTTTGCTAACTTCCAAAATTACCCAAACACAGCCTTCTTTGGCTTCTCCTTGACTGCCATTTTTCTATGTAAGAGCAAAGTTCTTATCAAAGTTCTATCATAAACAGCCCCCTCCTAACAAGCTCTTATTGTAAAGAACCACTGAATGTCTCTTGCACAAATGTTTAGTTGACTTCAATGACACCCTTAGTAACAAACAGTAAAACTTAAATACAACTGTAACCTAATATCTAACTTAAAACCAAACCTTGCATTCCATACTAATTCTTTCATTCATTAAACTACCCCAAACCCCTGTGTTCACACTCCTAGGTGCAAATCTATCTTCTGTTAACTTAATGGAAATCTCTTCAGAGTAACAATTTCTCCATGACATCTAGGCCCTCAAGATTGGCATTAGAAGAAGATCCACAAGTTCAATACTGTGATCATCAACAATCACAATGTCAAAGGCATCCATGTAGTTACTCAAATGTTCATCAACCTTGGAATTAACATTTAAGAGAAAGATAAATTGATGAATAAAAACTTAAAAAAAAAAACCTGTGGCTATTTAATACTGTAACTCCCAAGACCCAATCAGTAATTCTGACAGACTGTTATACATTTCCTTGCAAATTAGACAGGAGAGTTACATGTTACAGTACATCAAAATTACACCATTTAGTTAATAAGCCTGTCTTTTCTTATGACCTGAATCATATTGGGAAATTTAGAGAAAATGAAAGAAATCCATCCTTTGAAAAGATTCAGTAATAAGAATCGCTACATCACTTAAATCAGAGCACTTAATCTACCATTGAGATTCTCTTAAATACAGTTCTAAAATACTGACAGTTCTAAAGTACATACTCTAAATTTCTTTAACCTTTCTCCAACATTTAAATGAACACCCCAGACACCCCAGTCCTTCTCATACCCACAACACACCTTCTCATTCAGGAAACCCACTGTTAGGGTAACCTCAGTGTATTTAGGACTGTCTGAAACATGAGCATCATCTGGCAGGTCACCCATCACAATGACATTTGTACGTTCCTATGAAACCATTTAAACAAAAATTTCAGGTTTTCCATGGGGGCACTTAACTGAAACACTTTTAAGCTAATTAATGTAATGTCTTAGTCACTCTGATAAAATTCAGTGAACCAGATGTTTATTACAGTAACTCTCATGCAGCTCACATGTTCATTTCAAAGTTACCAGTAACATTTTTAAAAAGTTTAAACAATAAATTAAGTAGCAAAGAAGCCAACAACGGAAGATTATCCAGGAGTCTCCCAGAAACAGGATGAACTTCTTGGCCTCTCCAAGAGGAAAAACATTTCTGCCTCCTCTGAAATTGTTTAGGTTTTCCTTTAAAATGGCCGGTATATGCAACAGTAACATTTTTTAACCTCAAAATAATTAATATGCAATTATTATCACTCAGTCCATAATAGAACAAATTTTAGTTTGAGGGGTAAAACAAGGAAAAAGCTGTCCTGCACCAAATGAAGAAGGGATGGGATTTACAAAAAAATATACAGTAAAATATCTTAAAATCTTTTATTTATCTGGGTTGGTATCTCTGTGGAAGGTTTGCAGGCATCATAATGTATGTAAGTGGAAATAAAATGCCATTATTTTATTTACTGGGCACTTGACTGGTAGGCTTTCAGTGACACTGAGATAGAGTATTATTTATTTTTCATTCCTACGGCTTACAGTAGGTAGGGAATGTTACATATTTTATTTGAATATATTTTACCTTAATTTTGTCAAAGTATGGCAGGTCTTTAGTTCTCTCTTTCTTGTTGTTACTGAAGAGAAGTTCCTCCTTAAAACCTACCATCACTCCCTAGTGCAAAAATTAAACAAAAAAATGGTGTGACAGGGCTAGGGCAGAAAGAAAAGGAGTACAATCATCATATGACATTTGATCACTGAACCCCCCCCCCCCCCCCCCCCCCATTATCTCTTCATTAACTCTTTAAAACCTTTCAACCATTCAATAGTTTTTCCTAACCTGTTCATATTTAAAGAAGTTGGCAATGATGGTAACATTGTCATACAGAGTACTTTGTTGATCAATGACCTCTTTGATTAGATCTGAAAAGAAAAGTGGATACAAACTAGAAGATGGAGAAGCACATGTTATATGACCTGTTATATGTTTCACAGAAAAGGACTGAATTCAATAAAGGTCAATCTATTTTTAAAGATGCAAATTGTTCTCCATGTAATACCAATGATATAATGTTGACTCAGAGTCTATAGTTCTAACAACTTAGCTATGAAAACCCTGGAACATCGATTCCAAAAATATCTCCTTCCTTGCATGATAATTGCTAGTAAACAGTTACCAAAATTTTTAAAGGAAAGCATAATAAAAACAGCTTATGTGGGTGTAAAGTCAACACAAGCATGGGTATAATCTACAAATACCTCCAAGACCACCAGATATGATAAGGACAGGAACTTTCTTCTCATGAAGTTTGACAAAGAACCACTCCACACCATCTCTAAATTGAGTAGAAATATCCAAATACACAGAATGTAATCCAGTTATTTTAGGGTGCATGTCACTTTTTAAATTAATATAATACAGGTAGACAGTATTCCAAGTGAAGCACATACAATGAGATAAGTCAGTTGTGATCTTTTCATCTAAGTGCATGATGCATGGAGATGATTGCTGTAACTTTAAAATCAAGCATACTTTACAGCTAGAGCTTTGGAATAAACAATATTTTTAATATTTTACACAAAAAATGACAGTGATGTTGACATGTTCACCAGGGCCTTGTTTACCAATATAACATTAGATTTGGTATCACTTATTTGTAGTTGCTTATTCAGACTGAACACCACTAAATTAGTACGGCAAATGATTTATAAATTAAAGTGAGATTTAAACTTTCTTCCTAAATTTCACTTACTTCTTGGGAATGCACCCATTCAGAGCTGACTATGCAACTTGGATTTTAAACACTAATGACCTCGGAACAACTTTTCTAAATTTTCATTTCCGTGGAAATGCAAAAGTCATTCTACAGTACTTGCACAAACTGTATTGTGTATTGTATGTTGTGGTACCTTAAAGCAATGTGTGCATCTTTTACTATATCAGGTATTTGGTTTTGCTTGATATTCAGCTCAATAATGAGTTCATTTCCTTTTGTCCACCTGCAAGATAAAAGATTAAAATTTAAGAAACTAAATGCAAACCTCAGTGCAACTGGTGCTTCTTCTACCATCTGACTGATGTCATTCTTCTTCAAACCAAGCTCAGTGAGTAACCCATGTGACTTGGTCCACCTGAGTGTTCGTGTTAGAATCACAAACTTTTAATAATCTCTTGATTCTTTAAATATTTAACCTATCACACTTACTGTATCAAGAAGGGTGCTGTATAATGTTTATAATTATAATCTAGGGGGTGAGTGCTTATTCAGGGGAAGGGGCTTGTGAGAGTATGGATGCAAATTCAGAGAAATATGGTTTGTTTAAATCAGATATTCATCATAATATGTTAAACTAAAAATATTTATGATAATAGCCCTAAATGCTAATAATGACAGTTATTAAATTACTTGTTACAAACCAGGAGTCACGAACATTGAATGTTAGCCACATAAAATTGTTAATACAATAACTATATATTATTTTACCCAAAGTTTTGATCTCCAGCTTACATAAATTGACATTGGTTTGCATCACCATCATTAAGGAAACATCTCAATTATATATATGTCTATACAATGCTGTTCAATTCCAATACACACATCATACCATTCTATCATGTGGGGTTTTTTTTCAGCTGATGAAAGGTCTCTAAAATGTCAAAATAAATTGGAGTTAGTTAGCAAATAAATATATGTATTTATATCATTTCTCTGTTGTCTTTAGTACATAAAAACAGAAATTATTTATTAAAATAATAAGTACATACGGTGAGAATTCAATTGGCATGTACTTTTCTTTAAGTTGTTTGGCCTGAAATAGAAGAGATAAAAAAGGTAATTCAGAACCAGGTTATTGAAATGCAGTGATTAAAAAGACGCTCCACAAGTGACTGCTTTACATAGCCATGATAGGAATATTTTCAATAAACATGTTTGATCATTTATCATGTCTCAACTAAAGTTTAGACCCATTTTGTGATTGTGTTCCATTAAATAAATGAAACATGCAAAAAATGTTGTTAAGGAGAGGACCAAAGGGAATAAACTTATCAATTATGAACATAAAAACAGGTCACCTTTTCTCTGTATGATTCTGGGAACTGCTTAGAGCTCTCAATCACACCTAAGATTAAAGATAAATCTGTCTGGGACTAGATCAAAGTAGGCACATTTTTTACATCATAACACATTTTTTACATTGTTACCCTTTAGCCCTAAGAGTAGCTAGTATATACAGTAATTTTCTCTTATGACATCACCTCGGAATCACACATTTAGGTCACAAAAATAAAGGAAATGATTGTAAATTTAAAAAGTTCTTGACTATTCACCAAATTCTCCTTATCAGCACCTTAGGAAATGTATAGAGGACAATACATATATAGAGAATATGCATATTGATGTTTAGGTATAAATGGTTAAAAGGAACAAGTCAGCTGTAAAACCACATCAACTTTGCTGACCAGGTAAGGTAAGGTAAGGGGACCAACAAACTATTTATTAAAAAGTACTGATTCAGTTATAATATAGTATCAACACAGTATTTCTACAAATGAGCTATTGTATAATTTAAAAAAAATTGAAATAACAAATAACAGTCTGAAATTTTAAAATAACAAGACTTACCATACACTGTGCAGCCTTTTTCCCCATTGATGACAAATTTTGTGAGAGTCTTATCAAAGTCTGATATTATCTGTAAAATGTCAGTAGTAAATTATCAAATTATATTTCAAAAGTTGGAATATAGACTATCAAAACCCTTCAGATTGTTTGGTAATTCAAATCATAAGATCATTCTTGATTCATCACAAACCTGCAGCTTTTCAGGACCTCCCTCGTAGAGTTTCTTGAGTTTTTCTCTCACACCAACATAATTCCTGATATAAACATTTGGCTTGTCAATGCTTTTTATCTGAAAAAAAAATGTACCCCTGAATCAAGGAAAAAATTGAATGGGATAACATATAGTCCACTGTGTCAGGACAAGGCTAGAAGTCATGTTACCCATCTCAGTTATCTTTATAACAGCAAGTTCATTTGGCCTTCATTAACTTACAAAGCTTGTCAATGGATATTTTACAATTACGGTGGTTTGGTCTTTAATTGAATGGCTCCTATAGTAACATTTCATCAAAACATTACTCCATTTCTCATGTACCAAACAACAGAGTCTCTCTTATTTCAGTGCCTTTTTATCAAGGATAGGGTGCCAACTACCTTGAAGTTCTCAGCAAAACATTTTTTACAATTTTAATGTGATAGCATTCACATACAAAACTGCGTCATTTATGTTGATTCTATGAAGTAAACAACCATTATAATCCATCAAATATTTTTCCTAGCACACAATTGGTCTAAAGCATTATGCAACTGAATACGTCCCCGCAGAAACTAGGAAATATTAGTGAGTATACACCCAAAGTGATATTCCCCAATTTCCAAAACTTTATGTCCACTACAATAAGTCTTCCTTTAAAATCATATTCAAGATAAGGGGCCATTTTGGGGTTGTTACAGAAAAAAGAAACATGTTTCTTTGTTCATAAAGTCCTACCGGAGAACACTGAAAAGTGAAAAGCAAATGCAGTAAGCAGTACGACATTTGTAAACATTTTAGCAAAATTATTTGAAGGATGATAACCACAACTGCCTCTGTATGGGAAGAAAATAGGCTCCCATATTTGTCCTTGGACATTTTGCATTCCTTGAAGGGCACACTTTTCCTTGAGCCTCACCCTTAGAAAACTGTTCCCCTTTTTGAACAAATAATATCCACAGACAAATATCTATGCATATGTTTGCGCCAGATGAATTTTATTGCTTATATATTCCTCAGCTTTACTTGTAGCATGTTAGGTCACTTAAAAATACATTGTAAAAATTAAACACAGCATTGTGATACCCAGGGCTAGGTTGTTGGAAAGGGGGTCAACTTTAATCTAGGATCAAAAGTTAACTTGGCTTTAATTTCTGATGCAGAAGAGTGTGGACAAGAGCTAAGATTTTGTTGGGAAAAAATCGAAAAGAAAAATCCCTTGGCAGAGCTACAAGACAGAATTAATACAAAAATTACCCATAAAACTTATAGGTAAATAAAACCATTAACTCTGGAGTTCAATCGCTAGAGCCCTGAGCTGATCAAAGTCTGATCTTTAGTTGATCATTTGGATTCTGTGTAATTTACATTGACCTGTTTGGAATGTATTGAAAAGCTCTTTAATATTGAGTCTTGCCAACAGATATAGGATAATAGTGAAAAATACGCAAGTTCTAACACAACTTAAATCAGTTTAGTGAAGCGTATATGTACAGCCGTTCCGAACAAATTTTGGGGATGACATGCAACCAGCAAAAACTTGATTGATGTAAGAGATAAAAAGCCACAAGAATAAATTTATCAATTAAACCAAAACTGACTAATACATTTTTAAAGGAACAGAAGTGATACATTAAAAGCCTATTTCCGTTGTTATCAGAAATTAGGGAGTTACAAAAAGTGGAGGTAGTCTTGGGGAAAAATTATGAACGATAACTTTCAATGCGGTTAGCACAACGCAAAGCTAGCTAAGAAGAAATGGGACCGAAACACGTTTGTTTACCGCTTTCGAGCAACGTATTAGGAGATAACCATTCAAGGTAAACGTGAATCATGAAAATTACGCGCCTTACCATCTGATCGACAGCCTCTTTTACTTTTCGAGCACTCTGTCTGCCTTGTACATACTTGTAAAGGCCATAACCCACTATTACGGACGCTCCAACAGCAGCTACGCCAAACATTGTTTTCCCTTCAATCATAACAAAATTTAGTATTTAATTCTAATTTATGAATTCAGTCAATCAATCGATGGTGACCTCAGTGGCTGTAAAAATATGGTAATATCAGTCAGGCTCTCCCATGTCAAACCAAGCCCTTTGTTTGGGATGTACCGTTTCACTTTGAATGGGAGGGGACATAGGGTGATCTTTTGCCCGTAACCAAAATTGTTTTCAGGAAAATGCTTTTGATCTACTCTTTTAAGGCATTTTCCAGATGCAAAGGCGGGCAGGAAATGTTTTCGTAGTTCTGTTCTCAATTACCTGTCATGTGAGCTAAAATTAACTTCCAAAAAATTTCAAAATCTTTGTTACTAGAAAACGTTTGGTAGAACACGTCTGAGTGTTTATGTCAAAGTCTACTTTTCAATTTAATCGACGAACAGAACCTCGTTTTATTGCATTCCGAGGAGCAGTTTATTTCTGTTTTAAATTTTTTTGTGCGCAGTGCTCCACTATCTTTCCCAGTCTTTGCCTGTCATTCCCAAACAATGTGCCCCCACCCTCAGGAAATGTTGAAACAAAGGAGATACGGTATTTCCTCCAATAAGCGCCCATGCTTTAAGAAGCACCCTTCCCCAAATAGGCACCCACCCCCTAGGTGAGCCTCATGATGTGGTTTTAATAAACGTCCAGTCCGATTCAAAACGTAAATGCCCATGCTCACCAAGGTAGTTTTGTATTCATTACTCTTAAAGGGAGAAGAATCTTAGAGAGTGCGAGAAAGTCCAGTCACAGGCTGTGTGAACTAAGAAGCTGTTACATTGGACAACTGTGAAGCAGAAATCCCCTCACATTTAAAACTGGTATGAAAGAAAAGTTTAACGTTGCCTGTTTTGTAGTACCGTAATTAATGTAATGGCAACAGGACCGAGTGCAGTCCAATTCGGTCTGTAATCATACGAGTGATTTACAAAATCGGACGATAAAAGCTAAGTTTTTCGTTTGTCTCACGATGTAGTCACGTGTGATGTAGATCGCGACGTTTCGATTGCATTCTGCTAGTCTTCTTCAGGCGATGAGTCGACCGGTCATGCGTGATCATATAAAGCATGATGCTCTGCTGTGATTAGTTGTTATTCAACAGCTCTGATTGGTGCATTTCGATCCTTGCTGTTCACTCAGCGATTTGCTTCCTCGGCCGTCCGCTGCCGCACGGCTCTCCTGTTGTTGTATTTTTGATCGTGGGCATCCACGCTTCTGGAATTTCTATTCCACTATCCCTGTTGATGTTGTTAGGGTGAAGTCCTATATGAATTGCCTCTTTGACCCTGCGCGTGTAGTAAAAAGGGTCACGATCAATAAACTTTACTTTTAAACTTTCCAGAGTTACTGGACGACTGCGAAGCGGGAGTCCAATTTGTCAATCACGAGTATGATTACAGACAGAATTAGACGACATTAAGTCCTGTTACCAATTAACTATAACTGTTACAATTTCCGAAAACAACAAATACATTAGGACAAACATGTGAAGTGAAGACAATGTCTAAGTAAAAAATTCCTCAACTTTGGAAATTCCACTTTGGATAAATGATTATTGCTATGGTCATTGTGAACAATTCTGTGATTGGTGGATTTGACCGAAAGGACTAAGTATGATTGGCTGCTTGACCTGTCCGATTACAGCCAGCTGTCCGATTACACTGTCCGATTACAATTCTAAGAATGTGTTAAGGATATCGAACAAAAGAACAGCCTTTTTTTTTTATTAGATCAATTGTCAATTACTTTGTGTGCCTAGTTATGATCGTAGTTACAATGTTTATATTTTCCCTATTGGTTTGTAATCGGATCTTTTAGCGTCACCACGCGCATATAAAAGCTAAGTTAGCGTCCCTATAAGCCAGAGTTTCGCAAGATTTCGCCTTGAACAGCAGTAACTTCGTTCTTTCGTTCCAAACCCTTGGCACAAGCGGGACCGATATGTAAGTGATTTTGTTAGTTTTATATCAATATGTTTAAGTTTAGTTTTTCACCTTGGGCGATAGCGCACATATGTACTGTGTTGTACAACAGTACAACTAATTAGCTTGAAATCAAAGGAGTATTTTGAAATAACTAGACGCTCACACAGTAACGCCCACATTTTAGTCTTTGGGCTGTCAATCAGCCGCAAATGGTCATCGTGTAGCCGATCTTTGAATCTCGAGTAGTTTTAATTTAGCCTTTTATGATTTGTTTATGTTAATTCACGTTAATTGTTGTTATTTTAATCGCGTTATCGACATAGGCACGTAAAGCGTTTCTTTCATGCCTTTCGCACCACTTCAAGTAGATTCATGCATTCGTTATAATATTATTGTAATTTCAGTTTACGATCGTGATCGTAATCTAAATAAACACCGTTCATAGTCATCTTGGTTTTCGTGGTTTCACTACGACCGGTAAAATAGTCCCCACATCAGCGACACTTAGAAAACACGCATAGCGACACCCCTCGAAGTTTCCTCTATCGTCGCAAGCGTCACAGAATGATTAGTGAAAAATAAAGCAACTAATACACCAATGACATTTGAGGAAATTGGTTATGATTTCACGATACAATAATTCGTCTTAATTATTTCCTTCCTTTCACACGCACATTGAGCGCAGCCTGGTTACTTGGTACGCGCACAAATGCACTTCTTAAGATATTCTATGTTTTTGTCAGTTTCTTTTGTTTGTAAAGTAAAAGATAGAACTTTAATTTCCTAGAGAAAGATTTTCTCTTGCCACAATAGAGCTTCACAATGTTTTCCTTCGTTTGGTAACAAAAGAGGAAATAACCGAAAAACCTCAATTAAGTTTCGTTTTATCCTGTCCACGACTACGCCTTTGTCCTGACCGTATAATTGAGAGCCCTGTGAAAGAAAAGTCTTTCAAGAGCCTCGCTTTGTATCTGTACAGCTAGGGATAAAAACATCATGTTGATCAATGTAACAATTCAGTTTTAGTAGAACTGTGTAAATTTCACCCATGCAAGAGATCAATAGACAGAAATGAATATCAAATCAAACACATGTCAAACGTGCTCGTAACTAGGAAATTAGTCGACAATCTATGAAGAGATGAAGAGTCACTCGTATACTTTCAAAAGGATATAAAAAACTTTCCTTGATAAGATCGTTCTTGGATGAAATCTACCAGAATGCGCCAAAAAATATGCAAAATAAATTCTTTGCAACGAAGTTAGGCGGTATATGGATCTATTTTAGTGAATTTCAGTGTAAGAAAATTACACTGAAATTAGTCAATGAAACCGTGTTAGAGAACCTTCGTAACCATGAAAGCATATATGTTCAGACTTTCCACACAATAAATATTTGCCGATGCCATAGACAACTGGACAAAAGATGTCTTCTAAATTATCCTGATAATTAATCGTTTTCCTTCTCATTTGATGAGAAACTGTTCCCTATTGTGCCCGTGAAAAAAGAGCTGAAGAATTGACCCGGAAATTTGACACTAGTACTTTTGAGTCATAGGACGATTTCAATCAAGCATTTTATCTAATTTTGATGAAAAAAAATTAAAGAAGTTTTCTTTAAAAGACTTTTTGTAGTCTCAGTTGACCATATTTCATACAATTACGAGGACGGTAAATAAATATTATTTTTTAGACAAATTGCGCTTTCGTTACAACAGTATAAAGAAGCCAAGCTGAGCGCTAGAAATTAAACCTTGTCAGATTGTATCAGGAGAAAGTCGGGGAAGGAGGAACACAGCATAGAGAAAACCTCAATTCAGTGCAGAGTGAATAACTGGAGGTATGAAATTCTTTAAAAAACAGGTATTTAGAGCTTTATCACCTTTGTCGAAATCTTCGTTTTCGTGAAAGCCTCAAAGTTTGTGTTGCTTATCTAATTCTGTCTTTTCTCTATTTTTTTTCTTATACTTTTTTACCAACGAGTCGATCGGAATCTAATGATAGTTACTTATAGCAATGCTTCTGAGGTTGCGATGGGGGATTTCACGTGATTTCTGAGAAGCATCTTTTTTCGTGAAAAGTGGCTTGGCTATTGTCCTTTTTAATCGTCTAATGTGGTTTTCAAACTAACAAGTTTTACAAGTTCGTCGTCCTGCGAACCTTTTGTGACAGTCTTTTCACCGTTTAGCGGCAACTTTTCCATGAAACATGTCATTTATCCTCCATAATCCCATAACAGTCCGTGCAAGTGTAATGTTTTCTTTTGTTTTTGTAGATGAGGGTTATTCGTTTTGCAGCCGTTTTCCTTTTCATTGCTTCACAGTCCTATATCCATTCTGTGGTCTCAGTCGGTTTGTTTGAACCTAGAAGAGACAATGCGCTTTTGAGTAAACGATTCCTCCCTCAAGCAGAACAAAAAAAACCCGACAAAAGAACTCCTTTGTTTGATCCACAAGCGGAAAATCCTGAGCCAGGTAAAGCTTTGAACACTAAGAGATTGGCCTCGCAAGCAGAAGCAGAAAAACCAGAAAAGGAGGCCCTTTTGGACAACCTATTTGATCCACAAGCCGAGAAGCCCAAGGAGAAGAAGAAGAAGAAGAAGATGGGCCCAAGGAGTCATCGATTGACTGCTCGATCAGAACATGCATATGCTGACAAAATGCCACCTCCGGAAAACATGTTTGATTCACAAGTCCATCAGGACCAAGATGCTTGTATGTGGCGGTGTCAGGAATGGTGTCGACAGCGATGCCAATCATCTGGCAACGAAGAATGCCTCGATGGTTGCCTTAACGTCCGTGGCCACAGGTGGAGGAGATGTATTAATAGATGCAAGAGAGGAGACATGGATCGGCCTGGAGGAGACAATGAGGAAGAGGAAGAGGAAGAGGAGGAATATATGAGTATGGATATGGGCTATTAAGGAAAACATTAAACACGGAAGACGATACTGCAAAATCTGAATTGAATTTATTGTTGGAGGTCGCTGAGCGTGAGCTGACAAAAAATATTCACGAGGTCTTGATATTATATCAATAAAATCTAGTTTCAAATGCTTAAAATGCTGCGTCATCTTGGATTCTTACACAAACTAACGTCGGCGACGGACAAAAATTCCATTTAAGGGGTGGTCTTGCTAATTTATGCTCTCTAAAAAGACGCCTAGGTGAGCATGCATTGCAATCTTGGAATATTCTATCATAGGATGCTAGCGGTCTTTGTTTTCACCAATAGACACCTGTGATCTTGATCAGAGATGGAGGAAATATGCCACCTTACAGGAACCTTGAGTGTGCAAAACTTCCCTTTTTTTCGCCCCAACAAAACTGTGAAATGTCCACCTCCCATCTTTTCTCATTATCGAGTCCGATTTAGTCAAAAGAATAGTTTTGATTTCGTTTGCTATTGTAAAAAAAAATAGTTTCAAGACGATCGCAAAACAGATCAATTAACTTTTGTATGAAAGCCGTCTAAAAATGTTGTTAACGCGATCCATGTCAATACACCCAGTTGTCTCAAGAGAAATTTTCATACAAAAGCGTGACGGCGCTCACAGCAATACTGAAAGGTATTATGGGTGATGGTTGGTCGAGGTTCAGGATTATGAAACAATTGGAATGCTTTGTATCCGAACAAATTCTAAAAATTTCCTAAATTGGGTTCAAATTAGTGCATGGAAAGTCTGTTTGCACTATCAAATTAGTGGTACCACGAGAACGTCATCTTAGTGTCTCATGTTTGACCGAGCCTCTTTGTCTTCCGATTTAAAGCGGCCGTTTACGCACGAGGTCACCTTTTTTTCTGTCCCACACACAGATTAGAGGTCGTCACGCATTGACATTGCTGTTTCAAAAACCAAATCGATTGGCTTCGAATTTTGGCTTAAATTGTCGTTGTAAGGAACGTCGTAAAATCCCTCGCTTACAGAGAGGTAGTGGTGATGAGAAACAGTATTATGCGCTGTCTTGTGTACCTGCTGTTTTTGTAGGCCTTAAATAAGAGGTGGGTTGCTCTCCCGTCGGTAACTAGCAGGTTAAAAGATTTCACAAAGTCACATCGGTTGAGATATCACAATTTAAAATTCAATTCATGTTTCTGAACTGAAGTTTAAAAGAGGACGACTTTTGGGGGAGAAAAAAATTCCTTTACCTTAAAGAGAGTAAGTTTAAAATCTAATCCCTGATTTTTATCTTTTATGTGTGTTCACAGCATATAAAAAATATTAGATTTAGGGCCTGTTAACAAGGAGGTGGGGACCCCAGGTAGGTGAAGTAACCCGCCTAGCCGTTGTCGAAAAATAAAACGCGTTTACATACAATCTTACAACCCCGAGGTGCTGATGTGAGGTTTTTTGAGGCTGTTGTCGCGCTTGCATTGAGGGAGTTTGACCAGAGGCGTCCCAAGCTCACGTCTCGAGAAAGACGAAAGATTAATTCTCGGACACGTATGTATTTATTCATAAAAGCGTCACGCGTTGTGTTACGCGGTGTGAAGTTACGCGAGGAACCGTTGACCTAATATGTTATAAGGAATAGTTTAAAATATGGTCGATTTAAAACACTGAATATTCCGGAATGTGTCCGTTGCGGTTTCTGGTGATTACATACATACATACATGCATGCATACATACATACATACATATTAACGTTTATTTTCGGTTACAATGTCTAACTACAGTTTTTAAAATACATATAAGTTAAAAAGGAGAAGGAATAACAGGTAAATGATACATTTTATGACTAGAATCAATTACAAAAGACCTAAGAATATAATTCAACACAAATGTTCACCGCTTAATAGCTTCTGCGCTAAACGACGCCTGAAGCTATTTACACTGTCCGCAGCTTTCAAATCATTAGAAATACAGTTCCAAAGTTTGCATCCACGATATGTGAATGAACGTTGTCCATATGACAGACGACAACGAGGGATGTGTAAAAGATTGTATGATCGCGTAGTCCTAGTGTGAATATGAGAAAGAGGTACAAATATACTGGCCAGATATTTTGGTACTAAATCATTAGGACATTTAAATAAAATTAGAGCATCGCTAAGAAGGAGTCTATCCTTAACAGTAAGCCAGTTAAGGGATCTTATGACTTTTGAGATGTGGTCATATTTCCTAAGACCTAACACGATACGCGCAGCAAAATTCTGTTCTAATTGGAGTTTCTTTACATTGCCTTGAGGAGTGTTAGCCTTTACAGTTGAGCAATAGAATAGTTTACTAAAACCGAAAGCGTTCATCAACAATATCAGAGACTTTCTGTCCAGAAGGTGTTTCATCCTGCTAATCTGTATTAATTTAAATAGACGATTAGAGGTAGTTTTTGCAACATGATCGTTGTAAGTTAAGGACTGATCGATGAAGGTACTAAGGTCCTTCGCCACGGGAACTGGTGTTATTTCCTTTCCTAAAAGGGAGAGTGACACTGGAGGCAATTTACGCAGTAACTGCGGCACTCCCACAAGCAAGACTCTGGTTTTCTCCGGATTAATTAGTAGAGAATTTTGGCAGCACCGTCTACAGATTTCTCTTAGGTCTTCATTCAAACGGCGGAATGCACAGCTTCTGTCTACTGAGCGAAAAGAAAGGTATAGTCTACTGTCCTCAACGTAACATGCAGACTTACAATGGGCGGAAACAGCAAGGAGATCATTTATGTATACGGTAAATAGCACAGGTCCCAATATAGAACCTTGTGGAACTCCATGTTTTAGAGGGAGAGAGGCTGAAACAGCGTCCATAATTCGTACTCTTTGGTTACGAACAGACAGGTGACTGTGAAACCACCCCAGGCTAGATTAAGTAATACCTATTTGTTGTAGTTTCTGAAGCAAAATATCGTGTCGGATTCTGTTAAATGCCTTAGACATATCCAAGAGTACAAGAGAAGAGACTTTACTCTTATCGATGGACATAAGAAAATCATCCGTTACATGTAGGAGAGCAGTTTTTGTAGAATTAAGTTTAAGATTACCGCTCTGGTGCTCAGACAACTTCTTATTGGTGGTTATATAGTCCACGAACTAACGACGGGCTAGCTTCTCAGACACCTGATAGTATGGGCAATAATGAGATAGGCCGGTTGTTACATGGATCTTCAAAACAACCTGACTTTAACAAAGGAACAACCTCGGCCATTTTCCATGCTTTCGGAAATGTAGAGGTACTAAATGAATTATTCATAATGCATGCAATAACTGATAGTATGGTCGGCAAACTGTCCTTAAGGACACTAGTAGTGATTTTATCATGGCCGGGTACTTTATTCAAAGATAAGCCCTTGAAAACCTTTCCAACATCCTACTCTGTGACATCATGAAACTGAAAATCATCAGGGCAGTCATCATGTTTCCGTGTTGCTGGTAGTGTTGTTGCGGCAGAGTGAAAATCATATTCCACAGCAAGATCGAGGGCTTTCTGCGTCGTTAGGCTTCCTACGCTCGTAAAATATTCATTAAATTTATTAGCCAGACTGATCGGATTGCCACAGATTTTTGGTGAGATCTTAGTTTAGACAACGATTGATGATTTTCCAAACCATTAGTATTCCCTTTGCCATCAATAATTTGAGATTGAACATGCGCTTTTTCAGCAAGTCGAAGTTCACTTTTAACTTCTTGTCTGAAAAATTTGTATGCATTCCAACACAGGCGGTCATTAGTTTTAATGGCTCTTTTGTGCCACGTATCACGAGTTTTCATTAACTGTCGGATTTTAGGAGTGACATAAGGATTTGGTCTTGATTTGATTTTAATCCTTCTTACTGTGCGTGAGCTTCTAAAATGTCGGTAAACAAGGTTGATTTCTGCTATGAGATAGCTAGGAAATCTACAAAGTTTAAAGTGTTCGCTTTTGAGCTTTTTGCCATGAAAGCGACCCCGGCTAGGCGAGTTACCCCACCTTGAGACGTTTACATGGCAAATTATCACCCCGGCTGACAGGGTTACCCTACCTGGCAGACCGGACAACGCGCCTAGGCGGGTCATCCCACCTATCATGTAAACGTGATCAGATAAAATAAAAATTTATATGGACAGGCGGGTTACCTCACCTAGGCGGGTTATCTCACCTACCTGGGGTCCCCCCTATCTCCATGTAAACAGGCCCTTAGAAACTGTGGGTGATGTTAAAGTTCTCAGAGAATTTACTCTGTGGATAGCCTTAAGATGGAAAGATATGTTGGTAATTGATGCTGAAGTATGAAGGAAAGCGATTATGAGGAGATTTGTATTCACCTGCAGGAGATTACGGTTCAGAGCATCACACAGCATTAATACACCTTCGTTTACATTAAAAAAAAATTCGCCTTTGTAATGACGTGCATTGTAAATTGTACATGCAAAGTCTTGGTGACGTTCATTGGAGTTAAATTTTATTTCTAATCCGAGTAAGGCCATGTCAGATCAAAATGAAGTTAAGCGATCCAAGAGGGACAATACAGCGTTTGTATAAGTTGATGAAAATTCTGTTTCCTAAAAAGTTAAAGCCACAACCGTACTGATCTGTTTGTCGAGAGTGAGTTAATGATCTGAGCAGCTTCATTCCTCTCACCTTCTTTGAGGCTTTACAGCAATGGCACTTAGATAAGTCATCAAGTTGCTTAGGGTAAGGGTTAGGCTTAGTCAAGAAAATTCACGTCTACTGTAACAATTTCTATCGTTACTTTGTAATCTCTAAATGCCAGAAAGGCGCTAATTAGGGACTTCCCCTCTGGGAAATCCCACCAATTACTCAGAATATAGTACTGGATTACTCCATCTCTGTTATTCTTTAACCAACAGCATTCTCAAGTGAAGAAATAGTTCTCGTAGGAGAGCTGCAATTTCAGAAAATAAGCCTGAAAAAATTACAAGGAAGTTCGATGGGATCGGAACCTCTACCTCTCTGATACTGGTTGTACTAAGCCACTTGTTGGAGGCTAGGCCTATTTTTGTCGGCTCTTTCACGGGTTCAAATCTCGTCTCGTTTTTCAGGCTTTTTTTTCTGCAGTCGCTTAAATTGCAATACATCTGTGAGGATCATTTCTTCCTTGAATTTCATCCGTAATTCAAAAGAATGTTTGCATCATTTAATTTGTCGAAAGCATTGTTTTTGAAATGTTTCTTATATATTCGTCTGTGTTAAATTTTTCTTTCAGATGAAAACTTCCATTGCAATGACTTTTCAAGTGACTCTACTGTTATGTCTCACACTTACACCTCTTGTCAATGCACGTATGGACCCATGTCCGGCGACATGTCAAGGGGAAGTACTGATTCCCTGCGGCAATAGATGTAAACAGGAAAAGGACATCGCGTATATAGAATGCCAAGAGGATTGTTTTAAAAAGTTTCACAAGTGTATCGATGATTGTCACGAAAGAACTAAGCAAGAGAAAAAACGGGCCAAAAATAAAGAACACCTGACGTCTCAAAATGATCGCTCACCGTCCCACAGGAAAAAATCGAATTAAAATAAACGACATTGAGAAATTTGATCAATAAACTTGGTGACTTTGAGGTGACCTTAGACTCGATTCAATACATTTTACTGCTTATTCTTATTTTATTTGATTTGGTTTTCTTCAATTTTTATTCTAAGAGGTGTGGCTTCTTTATACTACCGAAATAGGGTCTATACTAAAGACATCAACCTGCATCAAAGAGGCATTTCATTTGTGGAAATCAAACAGTTATTAGATCATCACCAACTTCTCAGGGCCTACAATCATATTTTCAAAGGTCAAGATCCTCTAGGGATGCTTTGAAAGTTGTCCTTGTCTAAAGGTTTTGAAAGTGATTGTGTTGGTAAAACTTTTTTAACATAACGGTTTAAACTTGTCTTTAAAAACTGCTTACAGTGACCATAAGTTATGAACTCAACGACCAAGATCGAACAAAATCAAGAGATTAAGAAGATGAACGCGTAGATGAAAGTCAGGGGTGCTCGTTCGGGATTCTGAACTGCTACTATATCAAATTTGAACAGTAGAGTTAGGTTCAAAATCTTTGAGGACGGGTTTTGAATTGCCCTTTGTGCTTCCAGTTCATCTTTCACAGACAGGGTATCAGTTCCCTTGTCGACAGTTCCCGGGATATACTAGGGGTCTCAGGACTAGCCGCGCACATTCTGCCTTGATTACACTACCCGAACTTTGCCTGCAAAATCCGGTTGCGGCAAATCAAGATGTGATCTTCTATTACTTATGCAATGCACATGCCTAACATCTGTTGTGGTGTTTTTTTTTTTAAATAAAGACATTAAACTGAGTTAAGTACATTTTACCGTTCTCTAACAATGAAGAGTAAACCTTATTTAAATGTACGGTCAAAAGGCAATAAAGATATCATCTGAGAAATCTTCAAGGGAAACTTATGACACACCGTCTAATCCACCGAAACGACATCGTGGCCGAAATAAAAGGAGACACGTATTGGCAGAACTGACAATTTCAGGATAGATGTCGATTAAATGTTTGGTAAGCTGCAATGACCAGGAGGATCAAATGTTACTAAAAATCCTATTAAAAGACTTGACCTTTAAATATATGCACATGCATATTTTCACGTGGTCAGACGAATTTCATGTACCTCAAGTATTCCTACAGTATTTTGCTCAAGGAGTGTAAGTTCTGAGAGGAAATTTCTGACCAAAGCTCATCAGCTTAGCATGAGGATAACTTTGTATCTCGCCGCTTTCTTGGTTCTTTGCAAAAAGGGTGACTCGGTGGAAACGACTGTCAGCCCTCAAAAGGAGAACAATGAAATGGATCTTTGTAAGGTACACATAAAAAACAACTTGTCTTTATTTATTGGACTTGACTTCTACCAAACTGAATTACAAGCAGTGAGATTATCTGACAAAAACAGATAGGTTTCCTTTTCAAAACCCCGTTTAGCTGTTTTTCTCCAAGCTCGAACGCGTCCCATTAAATGATAAGAAATCCGAAAATCTGAAGAGAGGGGGGGAATTGAGTTGGTAATTTACAATTCATCCATCTGTAATGGTTCGTGATATGTATTAAAGGAGATTTTTATTGGATTTAAAGCTTTCAGTACAAAGGTAGAATTCATGGACAGATGACGAAGATAATGCTGTTGAATTTATGTTGTTTCATAAAAAGCAAATAACCGCCTTCCTTGACATCTCATCAGTTAACAAACCAAACAAATATTTAGCTTTCCCCTGTGAGGAAGAAGCCCAAAGTAAACAAGGAGGTTTTCTACAAGAAGCAACTATTCTTGCCTTATCTTGATGTGGTACTTGGGAATACCTGACTTATCCAATGTTGAAGAGCATCTGGATGTTTAAATCGAGGGAAATACAACAAAAATGTTTGATCTTGTTGACGCGTTAATACATGCGGAGACAGGAAGTAAAATGATTCCGTTGCGTGTCTCTCCTTTTGAATATTGTGCGACACTTTTGTTTGGAGCTCTTTGTATCTGGGCCTCTCTAAGGTGAAAAGAAGAGCTAAAATACGACCAACTGACGTCAGAGATACAATCTACTTAGACAATAAGCTTTTTTCCGAGCGTCCTAATTATCAGCAAAGCTTTAAACAGCTAAACAAATCAACCTTTGATATACGATATAAAAGAGGTAATTTGTGCTTAGATTAAGACAATATCTAATACGTCTCTTCCTCGTCTTCCTCCAAGAAATTAACCCCTTCCCATGGTTTTCCGGGAATTCCTGGATCGAATGGCATGCCGGGAGTGCCTGGCGTTCCGGGGCTACAAGGCCAACAGGGAAGAGATGGAGAAAAGGGACAGACTGGTGACAAAGGGGTACAAGGATTGATGGGTCAAAAGGGAGATAAAGGCAAGCAAGGATCACCTGGGAAAAGCGGAGCTCCGGGAATGACGGGAATCAAAGGAGATAAAGGAGATGGAGGTTCGCGCGGAATCATTGGAAAACCAGGAGAGCAGGGAATCAAAGGATTACAAGGAAGAAAAGGTGACAAGGGAGAAAAAGGAGAAAGTCCGACCAGTGTAGTGTCACAAAGTAACTGGAAACAGTGCGTGTGGAAGACTAGTGATAGCAGAGATAGCGGTAAGATCAAGGTATGACAAAGATATTGATAAGAGGGTTCGAAAGAGTAAAATTGTAACTGCAATGTTGAGGAAGTCTCAATGACAATAAAACCGATCCATTACAAATGGTTAGAGCGAGTTATTCTTTATGCTACCCTTAAAGTTTCTGCCGGCGAGCACATTAAGATCTTTCTTTGCATGATATTTTAGAGAAAGTTCAGGTTGGAAAGGGGCACTCAAAAACAAGTACTTCGCTATCTCAGTGATTCTTGTTTAAGCTAACACTGTTTGTTGCTTTCTGTTTCTATAGGATTGCCTCTTTAACAAGCTGCAAGCAGATACCGCCATCAAAGTCTCATTCCAGGGAAACATGCGAGTCATTGGCGGAGGTATGTGCAATCGCTGGTTCTTCAAATTTAATGGCAATGAATGCAGTGGGCCAATGACAATCGAGGCTGTTGTTTACAACAGTTGGCCATCTGGTAATCCCAACCTGCTCCATCATCGATCATTTGAAGGATACTGTGAAAACATCCTACAGGGCAGGATAACGGTGGAGTTATGGGTAGGGCAATGTCCGAGTGGATCTACTCTGGGTGACGCTGAAACCGGGTGGAATTCTGTATCGCGAATAATGATCGAGGAAGTATCAAGAGCCCAGTCCTGACCATTTAGCTCTGCTTGGAAAATTAATGCGGGTAAAGAATGTAACCATGATTGGTGATTTTGATTATGTTAGTTGAAAGAAAGCTTGTGCAAAGTGTAACGATTCCTTTATCAAATAAAACAGTTTGTAGTGCCCACTAAAAATATTGTTAGCATTCGCTTTACGAAAAAAATTGGAACAAACGAACTTTAAGCGGATAAAACTAATACGGCCTTGGTGCGTCTTCAAGAAAACTGTTGTAGTGAACTAACACACTACTTAAGCGCTATGAAAGCGATGCTCATAGTGTACCTTGCGCACGTGCCCACATCATAACGTGGAGAAAACATCCGGACCTAAGCGACCAATTAATGTTACTGATTATTTCATCTGTACCTCCGCCAATGCCAAGAGGTATACATTGACGAAACAGAAAGACTAGTCGACCGATTCCGAGAACTCTTTCGTGACGCAGAAAAGAATGACAAGGACGCATCCAAACCAGTCGTTAGACTCTTAAACTTCCCTAATCTGCTAATCATTCTAAGCAACATTTGGTAGTTGTCGATTTTCATTCTCAGCCGAGGGAAATGCTAACACCAAAGCCACCGAATACGTAACTGTCGGTTTTTCTCTCAGTATATTGGTTTTCTTCCCCTTCTAGGAAAGTTTGAACCTCACTGTCTGTCAGCGATACGGACTTTTTAGTGTTTTAGTCGCCATAATTCGAGGAAGCTCCGACAAACAACTTGTATTAAGAATCGTGAAGGGTTTGCCGTTCATTCATCAACCTGACCGAGTGGCTCCAAAGGCGAGTGACGTGTCAGCACCTGATTGGCTATATCAACACACGTGAAAGAATACGATATTTTTTCACATGTGTTGTTACAGCTTTTCTCAGTACCAGAAATCCCTGTATAACACCGCAGTTTATGTGAGAAAAGAGTTTATATCGCCCACAAGTAAATTGAGACTTTTACACTGAATAAAGGTGTGAAACATGTGAACACTTGTGTTGATATTAGACCAATATAACTTAGGCGCACAGTTGGGAAAAATTGTCTTAAAAAACTCATTTTGAAGTCAATCGGTGGGTGGGTAAAAGGGTGACTGCCAAAAAGTCCTCTGTTTACGTGGCGGGCTTGTGAAGCTCGTATGCGGTGCTCTGCGCGCAGCGCTGTACCATAAGCTCGTGGGCAAGGGTAACTAAATCAGCTGAGAAAACCTCTGTTTGAACCGAGGTCAAATTTGTTGGCCTGTCCATGTATGCTTTCGTAAGCAATACAATGACTCTGTTACACTACATATCTACTATTAACTGCCTTAATCACAGCATAATGCCTAGTCCGCTCTCACCTGGGCACTCGTCCTCAGTATCCTAAAGTTTGAACTTCCTTGAGCCTTGTTAAGCCTAGAGAGGAAATAGAACTTTCGACCCGATAACGTAGTATTTTGTTTCTGACTGTGTTTTTTTGTCAATTCTTAAGCATTGAGATATTTTTCAACTCTCGCATAACTGAATAATTTGCTTCACTTCACTAAACTTTAACGGCCGGTTATTTAAACAAAGTTTAGCCGTTGGTTAAGGAAATCGCGCTCTATGCCATCTTAAATTTAGCAGAACCTTTTATCTAAATTTATTATTGTGAACAGTGTCAATAGAGCGGAAAGCTTGCAGTGGAAGGACATTTATTTAATTAAATCAACCCCCTTATAGAGGATCCCCGAGGCCCACTGCTTGCGTAAAACTACTGTCTGAGTTAGACCTCGTGTAAATAGCCGACCCTTAGCCTTAGCTCGTGTAAATAGCCGACCTAGGACAATCCTTAAGGGCCACTAGTT